TACAGTATCTTGAAAACTTCTTTGGGAACACACAGGATTTACAGTCAACTACACAATCCATTTCTTTCTTTTTTCCTTTTGATGTGTGAATATGTGTCCTATATTGATATAGCACTGGTGTGATCTTCCTCCTACAAAACTTTTTTCTGATACATATGCCTGAAGCTTGAAAAATGCTTTCTCAAGAAATCTTGTTATTCTATGGTAAAATATCATAAACGTCAAAGATAAATCAATTGCTTTAGAAAAGAAAGCATTTATATATTTCAGTGAGTATTAAAGAGAGCGTCTTTCTATGTTTTATATCAGCAAAAAACTCAACAACGCAAAACCAACCAACAAAAAACCTGTCAAAACAAACAAACCTTGAAAGCAATACACTTTAAGCAGAAATTAAGAAATCATCTTTTATTATCCAAAAGTTACTGGAGATTGCTTCCTATTGAGAAAGAAAACTTTATTCCAGATTTGCATTATTGAGATTCATACTAATTTTAAAATGTTCTACTGAGTTATAGAATAAATGGCTTAATCAACCAGAGATCATGAAGTCTCAGAAAATTTTTCTTGTAATTGTACTGGGAACCAAAGTCCAACTTTAGATTCCATTGCTTTTGAAAAAATATACAGCATACAGCAAGACTTCACTAGAAGATATGAGCACGTTCTTGAGCGAAACTCATCATTTGTCTAACAACCACATAGATCAGAAAATCTATTGGGGGAATCATTTCCTTAATGTCTCCAAATGAATGTTAGCATCTTATCTACAGAAACAAAGAAAAAACTTAGACAAAATTTAAAAAGGCTTAATGGTTTTAAAGGGCATTCAATCAGGTCTCAATGAGCAATACTAATGACTGGAAAAATGTAATTATCTAACAACAGAGTGGCAGATGTTGATTGCCTTTGAAACAGTAATTAGTCTGAGAAAGTTACCTGTGTACCTTTTCTATCTTCATAGGACAACACAGTAAGATGGGTAACATGAGATATCCTTTGTTTAACCGGGAGCTAATTAGAACTAGAGTTCTACTATCTGCATGGAGGTCACAAAATGCATCTATATTTTTAGTAGAACAGAAAACTTCAGAATACGGAAGTCTTATTTTTCTGTTCAGCATTCAAATATTGCTCTGTTTTTGCTGTGATTATTAGTTTAGGTCTTTTTTGTACTTTGGTTAGTATACTGACAACAGAGGATTACTTGAAATAGATATTAATATAGTCTTCATTCTTTAGACACATCTAATTTTAGACAAGTGCTGTAATTTTGGTAAACAACTTTTTTTGTTAAAAAAATTGTGATTGTGATGTGATAAATTGTGATAATTTTTTTTTCCTACCTTGATAAAATGCATCTACAGATGAACTATACCATTGTGAATCCTAAGTGTTCTTTGTCATACAAGATGGAGCTATTCTAAGGTAAGACCTATATGATCTTTTCCCAAAACAACTTAATCTTCTTCCATTCTGAGGTCATTAACTGAAGTTCAATAGGATTACAAAAATTCAGGTTATATTTTTGAAGAAAATAAGTTTTGTTTTTTTTTCCTCACAAAAGAAAGGAAATGTACTGAATAGGTTGTACAGATAACAATGATGTCCAGTGTTGGACCTTATTTAGTCCTTCTGCAAGTCAATACAATACAATATGAAAAGCTTTTTAAGACTTCTCTTCCTAATTGGCCATATTTTTCCTTCTCATGATATTCTCATGATAAAATGTCAAGTCTTTTTACACAGTGCACTCATGCATGTTCATTACATTAATTTTAACAGTAAGTTGGTTTCTTTAGTAAATTCCTGAAGCTCATCTCAGTCCCTTCTACAACCAGGATCCCTAGTTGCAGGAAGACACAGACTCCTCAAGCCTGCAGTTCTTACTGACCAGGTTTTTATATCTATTCCTTTGGAGCTATCACTGCCACTGTGATTAGTTTTACTCATATACTTTCACTGACAGTGTTACTCAGTTTTGGAAATAAACACAAGTTCAAGTACAATGGACTAGTTATTGCAGCACTGTAGACTGAATGAAGCACGTGCAGTACGGATTATGGCCACAATACCATTATTCTGAACGGAGGCTAAGGACCTCAGGGAGCTAGAATAATACTGTCTATATTTTCTGAGGTGAGGTCACATACGTTATACTTAAAAAAGGTTATTCATTTATTCATAAAAAGCTTTAAGATTTTTCAGTAATGCAAGATGAGCTTCATGGTAAAAAAATAACAGAACAGATCCATGGTCCAACTTTATTTTCTAATAAAGGTTGCTACTCTAGAACATCAAAGTCTTTTGGTTAGAATGGCTCTTGAATACATGCAACAAGTCCACAAGACAAAGTAGTCCAGGAGTGCAAATTTCCTAATCTGTTACTTTACCAGGAGCCTGTCCCTTCTGGTGCATCTCTGTGGAATCAACTCCAGCGAGTGACAATGCTGTTACTCACTCAGTGTTTCTTCTGACTCTTCCTCTATATAGCCTTGAAAATTGCTTTCCCTCTCTGGCAAGTGAAGCTGTGCCAGCATGACATAAGTGACACATACTATCACTATGCCATTCACTCCACTATCTGATCATCGTTTCAGCACTGCAGACTGTCAAATATATAATGAGACTCCAGAAATCAAGAGTTTTAAAACTGGCACATGGATTCTATTCATTACAATTTTTGCAATGTGCACGCCATGCATTTATAATGCAAAAATCAACTTATTTAGGGCAAGTAAGAGTTGTTACCATCTATCATTTCTTAAAGGAACCACATTTAAAAGAACTTGACAAGTCCATTTTAAAAAGAAAACAATTAAATGAATATTTAAAAGGAAAACAATTAAAGGAATATTTACCTTGACTGCAAAGAAGCACAATTATGAACAATTTAGTATAATTTTGTAAAATAATATATTTTACTGTTTTAAGTACTGAGAATTATAATGCATTCATTTATTATATAGATCAAACAGTACCACAGATGGGATCAACTTGTACAAAAAATACACTTTTTTTTAAAACATGGTTTTGATATTGAATGCTAATTTTTCTTCCTATTACATAGAAAACAATTTGCTATCTGAAACCATATTGGTGGGTGATTAGTGTCTTGGAATTAACTGTATCACAAATGAACTTCTTTGTCTTTTGATGTCTGTAAGTTTTCAGGACTCAGAATTGTGGCTGACTTGGTGGAGCTTTTTATGTAAGACCCATAGATGACTTAATTATTCTAATCAGAATCCCTTCTTACTCTGTCACAAATTAAGAAGAAGATGGATTTTTTATTAAGACAACATCATTGACTAGCTTTAAAACTTCTCCCAAAACTGATGTGAAATATACCTTGCAGTTGTGCACAGAACAGCACGTGCAGTCATGGATAATTTTTCACTCTAGTTTCCTGAAAGTCAATAGAACAAATATTTGCATAAGCAGCTGCTTTCACTGACTTATCTCCATTTTTTTTCTTATTAATCTTGTATAATAATATTTTACAATGCATCATTTTACTCACATATTCTGCAATGTTTTCAATCTTCATAAATAATAGCTGTAAAAGTGGACTTTTGAGACAGTATTGCTAAAAGACAATGCCCTGGTATAAAACAGTCTGCACCGTAGTCCACTCCCAAGGAGCTTTCACTAGTTACCCTCACACAAAAACTCAGAGCACAAGTGTGAAATTCATTTTATGCATTTACTCCTGCATCTCAGTTACATCAGGTATGGCAGCTCAGAGTTTTCACATATTTTAGCAAGGCATATGAGCTTTTCCTGAAATACAGTAAAATCTGTGGCATATAATAATCTATTATTTGTTGTATCAGTATGAAATTGTGCGTATAATAGATGAATGTGTTTTTCCTATTTATAGATATAACATACAGTGACTGAAGCACATTTGTATAACTCTATGAAAGGCGGGTAGGTGGAAGCATTTTACCGTAGTGGCACACTCAAACTGAAGCAACCGTAGCATGCAGTCACATCACCTTGGCCTGTAAAGTGGCTGTACTACGTAAATCAAACTTGTCAAGGTCTTGAGGCAGCCCACTGGAGAGGAAAATCTATCTTGCTAGACAATGCAACCTGTGCTGATAAGTAACCACTGAATACACTTGATAGCTGAAAATGTTACATCAGCCAGACCCCAAACACAGACAAAGATGCCAGGGTGATACACGTGTTTGGTTTGTGTATTTAGTGAACAGCATCTGTTTTTTTTATTAACTCTTATCTAGCTTAACAATCATGTCAGACTAAGAAAATTTGAGCATTTTGTGTTGTGATTTGGTGGACACTTCTGGGTGAAGTCAGCTTAGATGAATTCATATCCAAGCTGACTTTTTTTGTGTTTCTAACACAATTTGTCTCAACAATTTGTCTAACACATTTGTTCTCAACTGAAAATCTTACAAAAAATCTGAAGTTTGTGTGTGACACGGTTATAATAGAAACAAACACTTCAATCATTAGGTATTTGTATCAATGAAATACAGTGAATTTTGCCTTGATTCATGTCCTTGCAGTGTAAGGCTATTATGGTATCTGCCATTCTGAAGTGTAACAAAGAAATAATTACTAAGCAAAAGAAGAAATATATCTACAGCTATTTCTGTCACAGAAAGTATTTGGAGAAACAAGCAAGACAGTACTACATTTTTCTACATCTGTGACTAATTTGTTACCAAAATCTAAATACATTTTTATAGACATGATTTCTTGTTTTTAGCAGGAGCAGCTGTACCATGTTAATATTCACGATTAAAACATCTGAGTACAAGACTTCTATTTGACTGAAAGATATTTTACCTTACAGAAGCAAATGCTTTGATTACCATTATACTGTTGTCCTGTTACGTGAGGAAACGCTGCTGGAAATTATTATTTGTTGTAAAACTTGAGCTGAACATGTTTCCATGTGTTAGTACAGAGAAATGCACAGATAAAACATGAAATAGGAAAAAACCCTGAGATGTGGAAGAGCTTACCTGAGCACTTCTCAGCAGATTGGCTGCTTAGCTGTCCAGAGCCCTGAAACAGTGAGACAGAATAAACTCAATGTAACCATCACATAGCCTACTGCATTCACTTTAACACATCAGGTTCAAATGACAGAACATATGCTTAGTAAACTATCCAAAAAGAGTTAGCATGCAACTCCAGCTGCAAGAGACTTTGTTCACAAACTACTTTATTCTCATCAAAAAAGTAAACCAATCACATTGACAAAAAGCCACTGTAAACAAAAAGACTATTTAAAGGATTAACAGTTTTGGCATCCCTACCATCAAGTCATCTGTTGTTTTTGTTTGTTTGTTTTGTTTTCATCAAAATTTAGGTTATATATTTGTTGTTAGCAAGAGTTGCATTACTATTATTGCTAATTTTAGTTCTGTTTATTACCTTGAGGGTTATATATTGCAGAATAATTTTGTTGTCACTAGTTAATGTTAATTAGATATTTTAATATCCTATATACCTATTTGTTATCTTTTGGTAGGTTTACTTTTTTAACTATCAGTAACTTAATAACTGAGAATATTTAACATTACTGTTGCATACTCAAAATTACAGAGTTACTATTAGTGTTACCTGTTTAACGTTTAGTCATCCTTTGAGTCCTGCGACATATTTCCTTAATAATCATCAGCCATCAAGTCTGATAGTCTCAAAAGAAATATCAGCCCTCTAACTGCCTTCAAGGGCGGTGATATTTAGCACTGAAAATTACAAATAAAGTTTTTGAAGTTGAATACCAACAACTGGGCAGTGACACTGATGATTTGTTTATCAAGACAAATTGATATATACTACGAAAATGCAATCCACGCACTCTTCCGAGTGAAAACAAATATGTGAATCTATGCAATGCTTACATGTTGAATGGGATATTTAATGTGCGGGGAAACTCAAAGGTTGAAGAACTAGCATTTAGACAGTCTAACAGTGGTAAGTGGTAATCTTACCTCTTTAAACTCCATTACATTCTCACGAGAGACATGCTAATACAAACAAGTCAATCAGAGTTTGTGTTTAGCAAGATCAAGCTTAGAGGATAGTTTAAAATCCATTTATTGTTCTAAAGCATTTTTTTCCATTAACATGTTATACATTAGTGGATACTAACCATGATTCATGTAACAGTTTAGTTTGTTAACTTTTAAATTATTTAACAACCAGAAGTTATTAATACAACTTTTAAAGTCTTACACAAAAAAATCTTAAAACAAGCTTGGGTTCATTTTTGTAATTTTTATATAAAAAACATTTTAGGCATCTCTTGAAAAAGAAATAAAGCAGGCATTTAAAGCTAGAAAACAAGTAATTCCAAATTTAGTTTGTTACAAAAGGTTTCAGCTTTATTGACAAATTATGGCAAACATATTTGACAAAATTATGGTTTCCTATTTAGAGAAGCTTACACATGGAACTTTATGTGATTTTTTTTTTTTTAACAAATACAGGTTAAAACACTGAACAAATTCAGTTAGCTACATACATACAGTAGCTGCTTGTTTTCAACCCCATTAAAACAGCATTTAAAATTAAATTTACAAACTTAATATCGAACATCTTAATCTAAACTAACATATATTAAAAAGACAGGTTAAAACATCTTATCTACAACTTGATTATTGTATGGCTCAAATGAAAAAAGGAAAAGAAAAAAAGAATCATATTACAGTCTTTCAGCAACCCTAAACAAAAACTCAGCCTTAGCTAGTATGTAGAGAGACTCAAGATCTGTAACAGGTTCATGCTTTTAAAGTTACACACAGCAATGAATACAACCAACAGAACATTATCTTTGAATGGTTTATAGACAATGCTTGCCAAAGTTTGTTCTTTCTGCTTTTTCTTTTTTTTTTTAAGTCCGTGTTATAAAATAATACTAATGCCAATGTCACTCCAATGTTATAGGAAATACAAGTAGTACATAGGATAATAATGATCAGTAATCCCTAGGATAGAAAAGAAATTGACTATTACTTGTCTTGTTGCTGTTTATGCGGAGACCACAGGCTATTAATTGTCTTTGAGTTGAGGTCACAGATGAGGAGGACCTTCAATATCTACCATAGGGGTGTTCCCTGTAAGCACCTCGAGCTGACCTTGGAGGAGGTGCCTTTAGGCTGGAACGGGTTGTGGCCCATTCTTCTTGTGCTAAAAACAGAAAAGAAAAAACATGTTGTGTAAATATCTAAACCTGAAAGAACAAAGTGTTGTCACTACTAATGGCTGTCAAAATTCTCAAGAGTTTTGCTTGAAAGATTTAATAAAATAAGACAACAATTGCCATCCGTTTCTTTATTCTTCAAAAAACAACAATAAAGAAAACAACAACAACAACAAAAAACCCTACAGAAAATTTAACTTCTAACTTCTCAACACAGGCGCTGTGGATGTCTCAGGATGAAAAACCTCATCTTTACTCTCAGCAGAGAATGAATATCTAGTGTGGTGGCAGTAAAGACAGCCCAGTAAAACGTCACTGCACTAGTCCGCCAGCTCAAAATTTGAGTCTGTAGCATATAAGCTGAAGTATCCACATGAAAGACATTTAATGCAACTGGTATGTTGCTAAAATGAAGATTGAAATAATAAAAAATAACTGAAATACATTTAATTTTTACTTCCATTTGAAACCGTGAGAAAGAAGAAAACAGTGGAAGAAAAATAATGTATAGGAAGGGAGCTACAACATTACGAAAATGAGTTTTTGCACTACACTTTTTGCATTTCATTATCATTAGCATACTTTTCCTCTAATTGGCAGAAATGAAATGTGCCCCAAAAGAATAAATTAAAATCCTTAAAACATGTTCAGTTTGTGCAAAGTTTCTACAAATCTTTTTTTTTTTTTTTCCCTCCACCTTCCACAGACCAAGCCTTCCAAAAGAACAAATAGGAAGCTACCTACAGCTCTGGTATAGCAGTTTAACCTCAAACTTGAACTATTTTCTCAAACAATTGCACCTAACCTTGACCATCTCATCAAACAATTTCTGTTTTTGCCTTCCACTGACTTCAACAGATCATACAGTCAGTGACTGAAGTAAAAAATCACAGAAATAACAGTACATCATCTCTACTATGTCACATAGCATACCATTTCCGTTACAACTGATGCACAAAATCACCAGGCAGCTTCAGAATCTCCACATATTCCCCAAAAGTTATGTGATAATCTGTCCATGCTTTTGCAATAAAATACAGAAGCTGTCCAGAAATTAGTGAGGAAGACATTAATTACTGTCAATGTAGTATTTAGTATGTTTGTATTACAAATTTGTGCACAAGATTGATGACTATAAAATATTCTATTAAGAGCTGAGTCTTCAGATGCCAAGGCAAAAAGAACAGCTTTTTAGCTGTGCAAGAAGCAGAGACTGGAAACAAAAACTCTGAATGATTGAAAGGTGACTTGAAGCCAGTGGCAAAGGGATACCTGATGTACCTGGAGAGAAAATCCAACACTAAATATTATTATTACCATTTTCTATGGTATTAAATTCCTTCTGCTTTTAAGATGGATTGGGCTTTCATTTGTCAAGTTACTGTCAGAAAGATGATGGATCTCACACCTGTATTTTTGATTATATTGAATGTTTTAAGTCACTCAAAATGCTAAAGAATTTTGTTCGATTTTTTTTTTTTTTTTTTTTAAATAGAGTAACCTAAACAAGAAAAGAGAGTTTTCTATAAAAAATAGGATACGTTGGCCACTACATCATAATATTTAAAATCAAAATTGTAATAGTCATACATTTCAAAGGAAGCTAACTACATTGCCTTAAATTTAGACCGCGTTTTGATTAATGGGACAATAGTCTTAGATAAAGTATAATAAGGAACTTTAAAGTTATCTTCATAAGAAATGTCAAAGATTTTATTTTACTAAACTTTCTTTTAAAGAAGCCAAGTTTTCATAAAAATACTATTTTGAGAAGAAGAGTACAGCAAATGTTTCACATTTCGATTACTTTTGGTTTAATTGGTATATGTAAATTACTGAAGTTCTTCAATAGTCTGTCTTCAAACATCTTATTCATATTGTTTAGTTATGAAAAACATAAAATGACAGGACTCCCCTCTGAGGTCCCATACATAGAGGACTTTGTTTCTCTGTTGTATCTTGATGAGCATGTCTGCTGGAAACAAAATCAAATTCCAAATACACAACAGCAGTATTATTGCGTAGTACAAGCACAGAAAAAATAATATTTTAGCATCTTCACTTTGTTTGGATTTTTTTTTTTCTTATGTAATTGCCCAGTTTCTAAATATTTTTTCCCAGGAACATAATGAAATGCAACTGCTGCTCTGAAAGTAATGCCTCATATTATATTGTGTTGGCCCATGATGACAGAGGCAGATGGTGATGGAATGGCAGAAGAGGTTGAGCCTCACCACCAATATTCCATTACATTTGTCGCTGTGTGATAGACGGCAGCAGAGAGGCAGTCTGACAGGATGGCATCTGACATGGAAGTGGGTATGAAGCCTAGGTGTGTCACTGAATTCCTCCACGTGAAAAAAAAATGACATTCATTGAAATTCATCGATGCTTTTTGAACATTTTTGCAGACCAAAGAGTGGATATGAGCACAATGAGGCATTTGGTGGTGCGTTTCAGCAGTGGTGACACTTACAGTGGGTCACTTCCGCTGGCGCAGATTTTTTGTGAGCTCAGCATGCAGGCTTTTTTTCATCGCTGACAAAAACGAACAGCAAATGGTGAGGAATGTATTGAAAATAAGTGTTTTGCAGCTGAGAATTTTCTCATCAAATAGTCCTATTGTATCAATTGTACTTTACATGGAAATAGATAGAAGGCATTATTTTTGGAGCAACTTATTAGCTGTGCCTAGAGAATAGAGTGCTGGTGTTATACTAAAATTTTACTATTCTCCTAACCTTCACAATATAATACTTTCTACCGCCATTCATGAGACACTTTTAGTCCTAAGGATGCAAGAAATAAATTTGAAAAAGCATGCTATTAACAGGAACTTTGTGGCACAGAAATCTTATTCAACAGAGATACAACCATATGCTGTCCACCCACATGGGGTACTCATTATAAAGTCACAATTTCTTTCTCTGACACAGCATACAGCCCTCATAGTTAAAGAAGGAAGAGTTCTTGCTGTGAGTGAGAAACTGAACTCTCTCTTACAGTATTGCATAGGTAGAAAAGTACAAAAATACTGATGTTCTCAGTATAGAGAAATTCCAGCAGAATGTTTGCAATGCGTTGTATTTAAAGAGGCTACACTATTAACATAAAGATAGTAACAATTCCACTAGATTTCAGGGCAAAGTAAAATAGTTTGCTTCAAATCAGCACTGATAGTTTATTAGTGTTTCCCCTTGCCCATGAAACTGAGAGAGAATGTTTGGTTACAGGTGATTCAAAAATGATGTTTGTGTTGAGATTTGGTCAGTGATTGCATCAGAGCAAATAGTCGACTGTTTATTGTAAAGAAAATCATATTCACTTGAAAAAGTCAGATGCCATGGTTTGGTATGGAATAATAAAAACTTCACTAAACATGTTACTCCGGTAATCACAAGTTGTTCTGATCAAAGAATCATAGAATTGCTTAGGCTGGAAAAGGCCTTCAAGATCATCAAATTCAACTACAACCTAATCATACTACCTCAACTCCAACAAACCTCCGCTAAATCATGTCCCTGAGCACCACATCCAAATGGCTTTTAAACACATCCAGGGATGGTGACTCAACCACCTCCCTGGGGAGCCTATTCCAGTGCTTCACAACCCTTTCTGTAATGAAGTTTTTCCTGATTTCCAACCTAAACTTACCCTTGTGCAACTTGAGGCCATTTCCCCTTGTCCTGTCACCTGTCACCAGTGAAAAGAGATCAAACACACTCTCGCTGTAAGCAACTTTCAGATATTGGAAGAGAGCAATAAGGCCTCCTTTCATCCTCCTATTCCCCAGACTAAACAGCCCCAGTTCCTTCAGTCTCTCCTTGCAGGGCATATTCTCCAAGCCCTTTACAAGCCTTGTTGTCCTGCTTTGGACCTGCTCCAGCACTGCAGTGTCCTTTCTGTACTGAAAGGACGCATTAGAAGAAAGACACTAGTGACTGGACATTACCAATGAAGAAGCATCATTTATTTTTCCAAAATGATCATAAAGTAGAAACTTATTTTTACTGTGTAGGATTTTGTTTGGGACAGATTACTTTCTCAAGTGGATGCAGAGTGAATTTTGAGTGTAAGCAATCAGTATGGCCAGTAGGTTATGGATCAGATCCAGCTGCACATGCACTTGTGATATCAGTACAATGCAAACATGATAAACTGTGAACAGGCTTAAATGCAAGTGGAGAGGACATCTATTTTCATCTTTTTATCTTGGTATGCTTCTCTGGGTAGAGGTGTTACTGGCCCACTAACTTCCTACTCTCCAATTCTTCACAAAAATCACATTTCCCAAAGGCAATGGGTAAATTTGCATCTCTGATCATATCACTTAGGTCAAAGAGGACTTAAAGTTTTGTGGAACAGGTTTCTCTCGTGTTTTGGTTTAGGATAGTCAACCATTAGTAACACACAAGATATTCTTCCACTGTAAATGAAGTATTTAATTACCTCCTTCTTGTTCAAATTCTACTTTTAAAAAAGGGATAAAAATATTGTTAATGCTAAGAAAGAAAATTTATTTCTCCTGGCTATCCAACTCTGAAGTTTAAAAGTTGCCACTGCATATTTAAAAAAATTTTAAATAAAGCTTAAAGACTTTTAAGACTTTGATAATTCTCCCTGAATAATACATGAAATTAATCATACATTTACATACATCATATATTCATTTTCATTTAGCAGGATAAACAACGGTATCCCCCTGAGAAAACCTGTTATTTTCTTACATAATCAGAGTATCTCATCTTGCTCCAGACCTACAGCCATAACAAATGTCCTATATTCCAAGACTCCAGGAATGAGCAGAAGTAACAGAAAAAAAAGAAAAAAGTTTGGCTGAATTGAAGCTTTTAATGTAATATGTCTGCAATTTTTTAACAGGCATGCTTTTATTGCAGGTATAGCTGTGGTTTTTTTTTTTGTTTTTTGTTTTTTTTTTCTAATCAATCACTGCTGACTTTTGTGACCAGTAAGAAAATAATTAGCT